CACTTATTTAGGGGGAATAATTCGTGTGTTGAACGTATCAGATGATATTGCACTTAACTTTGTTGATAAATGTGAATGTCAAGTCTACCGAGCAATTGACGAAATCTTACAAGCGTATATTGAATTCTTGATTAGAAACGTGTGCAATTAGATCGTTATATATATATATATATCCTGTACGGTAAATATTCGGCAGTAAGCTTGCAAAAATTGTAAATTCTCGCGGGTGGAAATGTTCGCCTTGTTACACTTTAAAGTACTGATCTCGGTGCTTGCATTGGATTTCAAATATATCCTCTTTTTAATTTTTCAAGAAATATTCGCGTGTGAATATTTTACACGCATATTTTTTTAATGCGAAAAAACCGAGCATTTTCACACCGCGAAAATTTGCACTTTTACAGTACTTTTAGCGCCTACGAACTTCAACGTCCCATTTTCCCATCAATTCTTTAATGCACCCCTTCTGATATCACGCTAAATTACTTTCTAACGGCAATGATTTGCTGGGATAAGTTATGCTATTAAGTTGGTTAAAATAAACTTGACCAGCTTGAGGGGTTATATGAGAAAAAAGGTGAAACATTTATACCCGGATGCAAGGATCTTTCAGGTGTAATGTTATTTAACCAAGTGATCTGACTTACTTGCTATCAAATTTGTTTAAAAAAAGTTTGCCCTTGATCCAATATTAAGGTCACATACATGTGTATGAGATATGTTTGCCAACAGCATAAAGTAACAGTTGACCGATACAGGCCCATTGGGCCTATTGATTTGAAATGTAGTTCCATTTGGTGTATCCTCAAAAATTTCTTGTGTCGTCATTTAATATCGCTTTTATCTTGTTCTCATATAAAAGTCTTTATCAAATTCACGAGAAAATACGCTTTCTATGTGCATTCAAAATACTTCTTTATACAAATATTTTACGTTATACATGTATTGCCCTTGTATTAGGGAAACAAGATTCTTGGTTTTCTCAAGAATAATCATGTTTTACAAGGGCAAAGCTTGAGTTACAAACATGATTAATCGATAGTTTGTTTATACCGAACTAAAATAATAACACAACAGTGAATATGAAAAGGCTTCTTCGCAATTATTGTCGTTTGTTTTCGTCACTCGGAACTCAGGTGTGGTGCCTCTTGCTATTTTGTCAAGAGAGGTTTCAAATAAGGGATATATGAAAGTGGGAAGGGAACATGATGTTTCATTTCACTGTCATGTGATCAATATAATCAAATCAAACACGCTTTAATATGACTGATTTGATGAGATATGGGAAAGAGTCATCGCAACCAAATTCCGAATGACTGAAGCAGTCGACAACAACTGCGCGTCAACCTGGTCATCTTTACGGTTGGATTATTGTTTTATTTTGGCATAATGAAAAATGTATTGCCATCGTGATAGGGAAACACGATTGTTTGTAACACATGCTTTACTCTCGTCAAAGAAGATTAATCTCGGAGAAACAGTGTCGCGTTTCCCTTCACTAAGAGCAATACATCTTGAATTGTTCAAATACTGTATTCTTGATTTTACAATTTATAGTGTTAAGGTAAATGTACATCAGAGCATACTTTAGTTTTAGTTTCTGTATTTAAGCAACGATAACGTAAAACTTGTATTCTAATGAACAAACCCCTTGTGTAGTTTTACAAACACGTCTACGTAGTCAAATTCTGTTAAATTGTATTGTTGCCTTTATTGCCAATAAATTGTAATAAAAAGAATTACTGCCCCTGATATATTCGGATTAAAATCACTTTGTGTCTACTTTTAATTGTTTCCTTGCACCGCGGAAATCCTAAGCACATCTTTCTACGACTGTCAATGGCATTGTAACTTTTTAAATATACCATCGCTTTCGTAAATGGCGTGTTTTGGGAATTTTTAATTCTACTATTTTATTGTCAGGTGTTCTGAAATGAAGTACATCTGCCATTTGGAATACTTCAATGGCTTTAAAGGTAGAAAAACAGAAAGGCATAAAACGCCAAATGTGTTCATTAAGAAGTCTGCATCAGTACATGTTTTCTTTGTTTTTCTTCCGTACTTATTAACACCCTTAGAGCTGTCCGTCGCGTGGCGTCGATCGTCAGCAACTTCTTTAACTCATTCAGCCCTCAAATTTCATAATGAACTATTCCAACATTTGAATTGGAGGAGTTCAAATGTGTCTTCAGTATTGAATGAGTAAGCAATTTCTTCTACATAAGCAAGATGCAAAGGTTTATGCTATTTTGCTCCTGGCAGACCGAGGTAACGTGCGTTTGCGTTTGTTCGAATGAACGACCTCGATTTACTTTGAAGGTCAATGCAAATACGTACAGTATGTAAAATGCGCTTATCATGTAACTCATTCACCCCTCACCCCTCTATTTCGACAATGGAGTATGCTATCCTTTGATTTGGAGGAGTCCAATGTAGGTACATGTATCAATGGGTTAAACGTCTTCTGAATAACCAAAAGGCAAAGTCATGTTATTCAACCTATATCATGTTTGATAAAGGGCTGTTAACTGTGTTCAGATATATGACCTTGACTTAATTTCAAGGTCAGAGGTAAAATTGGCATAAAATTTTCAAATGACTTATTCTAAATAACAAAGAATTCTTGTTCATGATATACAGCTTGAGCATGTTAAGTGAACGGCTATCGGGTGTGTTCAAATGTACAACCTAATGTCAACGTTCAAGGTCACATGGGTCAAATGTCTTCAAACATTTAAATAAAGCATTTAAAACGTTTTCTGGAAATAAGACGTATTCATTGTCAATACATTTGAAATAAGAAGAGTTACTGCCCCTGTTTTTTATAAGAATTTAATTCAGTATGAAACTCATTTAGTGTCAATTTTCAATTGTTTACTTACACAACGGAAAACCTAAGCACCTCTTTCTATGATTTCCATATGCTTTCGATTTTGTTTTAAAATATTGTATGTGTTGGGAATTTTTCTACAGCTTTTTCTGTCGTGTTTTCCAGAACTCAAAAAATCTGCCATTTAGAAAACTTCAATTGATTTTCAGACATAAAGAAAAGGAAGGCATCGAATGAATTAAGATTTTTTTATCAAGTACACTATATAAGTACATATATTTTTGCTCTTTATTTCCATCAGAACATATTATGAATTTACCAGCATGAATAACAAGCGAACTTATGCCGTGGTGCTGCGTCCATTGTCAGGCTATTTTCTTTAAATAACTTCATCTACATGTACATAAGCAGCAAGCCTATGGTTATGTGTGTTGAGAGAAGCGTGCTGGGCTGAAGGGCTATCAAGTTTATTCAAATGCATGACCTTGGCGGACTTTTTATGACCTTAACCGACTTTCAAGGTTAATGGGTCAAGTGTACAGACATATTCAACCGGCTCATGAATAACCAAGAGGCAGAGGGTAATGAAATTCAGTATGTAGCATGCTTTGATGAAGGGATATATTGCTTGTTCAAATGAATGTCCTTGACAGAAATTTGACGTCACAGTGCTAACTTTTTCGTAATAATAAAGAAAGCTTCTGTCAGGAAACATTGGATTTGGCATGTTATAGCATGATGTTGTAAAGGGCTATCAAAGTGGTTATATTAATTACGTATACCTTGACCTACTTTCAATGTCACAAGGGTCAAATCTGTAATTTTATCTCACCTGACCCTATGGGTGAGCTTATAGTATGGTGTTGGGTCAGCCCATCTGTTCATTGTTCACTGTCAACTTTTCACTTTAGAGGACTTTTTCTGAATGACTTATGTACCCGAGGTCATATCGTTCATGTACCTTGCGTCATTGTATCTTGCTAGTAGGTCAAGTTTGTTCAAATAATAGATTTTGACCCACTTTCAACGTCACATGGGTCAGACATATTTCAATATTAAAATAACCTTTAGTGAAAACTAAGAAGCTTTGTATCCTGGTATTTGGATAGAAACATCTAGAAGAAAAAGTTATCCCGTATCTTCAAATGAATCACACTGGCTTAATTTTCCAAGGTCACATGATAAGATATTGTGTCACAGATGTAAGATGTGTTTTAAAAACAACAATGAATAGCAGCAGGCAAGAAGTACAAGCCAATTTGGTCTCGTGTTTGTACTTGTTCAATCTAGACCTTAACTCATTCACCCCTAAAGACATACTTGGACTCTTCCAACTCAAAAGTTGGAATAGTTCATTATGAAATTTAAGGGGTGAATGAGTTAAGTAAGATATTACTATATATTGTTGACATCAGTCAGTCTGGGAAGACAATTAATCTACATGCGTGCAGCGGATAAGCCAGTTGTGTTGCAGTGCCTGCTGTGATGATGCAGTCCAATTCTGGAGCGGCACATTGCATTGCAGTTGCTGCAGGTGTAGTCCACGCTTGGCTCTGTAGATGCTGATGCTGCCACTGCAGGTGTAGTCCACGCTTGGCTCTGTATATGCTGATGCTGCCACCTGCCGTCTGCACTCTCTCCTCTCTTCTTAATGGTCTACTCTCCTTTTCCACTTATCTGTATTCCAGCCTTCACGAGTCTCCAGGCATGTACTGTGGTCTTCCCCTAACACTTCCCATCTTTCTGGGTTGTGTACAGTGTAACCTGAATAATCTGAAAACCTGAATAGACCAGATTTTCAATTAGGCCCTGCTGTCATTTGTATATCTGCAGTATCAAACCTGTCTTAACTGAACCCTTTATAATACAGACACAGTATAAGGCAGATATTCTACAACATACCCAATTAAAAGTAGACACAAAGTGATGTTTTATGTTGAATCTAATCAGAATATATCAGGGGCAGTAACTATTTTTATTACATGTCGTAGTGTGGACATGGTAATTTATTTTTTAAACCTGTGTAATTCCAGACACCTTCATAGAACAGAACAAGCAAGTCCAACTACATTTTGTCATGTAGAGCAAACCTGTGTACTGTGAAAGCCTGTCTTTTCTGACATGAAAACATCAGTCATTTATTGTTCATAAATGAAAACAAGAGAATAAAAGCAATAAAAATAAATATTTATTTTGATCTTTGAGCCGACACATATAAATTTACAAAAGAGGCATTCTGACACAGGTATTTAGATGAGTAAACATCAAAAACTGGCATGTTTGTGTGGTTTAGAACTTATCACTGGTGCACAAGGGATCTCAGAACAGCAACGGCATCAATGTGCCGCAATATATATTTCACTGAAGCACAAAGTATTGATTTTCTTCTAAATATATACATAACTGTCTTACTTAATTTCAGAAAATCTAAATTTTTCATGAAGTTTACAATTTCCTTGATGAAGAAGATGAAAGTCTTAATGCAAATGACAAGCAATAAGGAATTTAACTGTTAGCTGTGTTGGGAGCTGTTGAGCAGGTATAAATAATCAGAGACATAAATTACAATAATTTATAAGTCTCCAATAGTATGTGGAGTTTATCATCATGAAGATCGTACTCAGGAATGCTATCTCTAAAGGTGGAATGAACAAACTTCGACCATTGAGATGTGGTCCTATGTTATAATATCTTACGATTCCATTGGATCGTGGTCCTATATTATAATATCTTATTAATTCCAACAGATCAAATCTGCATGTATTGACAATTCTCGGAGTTTAATAAAGCTACACACTGTTAGTCATACAAACACACAAAATATTGCACTCATCACATGGCAGTGTTAACAATTCACATGTATTTAAAGGTTCATGAATGCAACTCCTGTTAAAAACATCCAGCAAATGCAACAACAAATTACCAAAAAGAATAAAAACACAAAAAAATCATGTAACCTTGTACAGTATATTTCGGACACCTCCATATAATGCCGCCCATTCCATTTACCATCTCGCTTATTGACAAATTTTCCATTTGTAAAATTATGAAAATTTGTTTTTTTACCAAATCTCTTTATATGCTCCTTTGAAGCAGCACAAAGTTTTTTGTTCTCATTAGTTTCTCTATAAAGCTCCATTGTCATATCGCCACACTCTTTTTATGCAAGTTTTTGAAAATAAAAATAAATACAATGGCAGTGTAAAGAGGTGTCACTGTACTGTATATATCGTTACTCTCATTTCATCTCTCTAAATGTGTTATAATACTAGGCAAGATATTAGGACTGACAGAAGAATGACCTGGAACACGAGGAGGAGATGCTTGGGGGATCGATGGCCATGTATCTAACGACGAATATCTGTTGCCGTATGATATTGATCCATGAAATTCTACAAGTACATAGTGTGTCTATCACCAGGTGCAAATTTTAAAAAACTTGTTCCTCTTTCACACAAAATTGCTTTCATCAGTACACAATATTTCTTTCTGCTGTTATGTCATCATAATTTCCTCAAACACAGCATCTTTACAAATGTACCAATATCATGGAAATTCTAAAAATAGAATATCTCAAATCAATTTTGACAATTGAATCTAATTATTTGAATAAGTGATGAATTTTTCATTCCTCATCTCTTCCACTTGAACATTGTCACTGTGCATGCCTCTGTAGGCATTTCTGTGTCGAAGCTTAAGATGCAATTAGATTAAAAAGTTTTACTAGTAAAAAACACTCCATCTGGATTTTTCCTTGACACACTGCTTGTGTAAGCTTTCCAGTAGTATGGTAATTTTGAGAAGGAAATGATTTTAAAATGTTCACACTTTCGTTCCTTTAGAATTCAAAACTGCTTTTCAAATTAAGTTTTTTTCTGAAGTACCACAGGTATGTTAATTTGAGGAGGTGTGTTCACAAAAAATATTCACACATTATCTTCTTAAGAATTTTAAGCTAATGTTCACTGTATGTTTTACTGATGAAGATTTAGCTTCTAAATGACAGCTGACATTTCGACATGACGACTGACATTTCTTCAAGACGCATTTCTGGTTTAACAGAAAGGAATTTAATGCATTGCACACAAAAGCATTATTTTTTTTAAAATCCAAGATGGCTGCCGAGGTGAGCACATACAGTAAAATTGGACATTTTCGCATGTGGAAATAAATGTTCCCGTTGTGACCCTTTAAACCTATCGCAGTGTGGAAATTTTTGTGTTCACACTAAGCTAGGTCTGAAGTACATACATTCTGTTCAACTATAATCTATACATAAATTTCATTTGCAGATATTTTTGTGCTAATTTACTGAACATGAAAAGCATGAACATTTCAAAACCGCAAAAATTTCCACTTTTACAGTATAAGAAAATGAAACACACACAAACCATGAAATCTTTTTCATTAGAATATGCATGTCTAAGAACATCAGAAAGCTTTTTAAAAGTCTTGTAGTATTCGCATATATCTAATACATGGAGAAATTGCAATTTCACTGTGACAATAAAGCATTTTGGACTGACAGAATCGGTCATCCATATAATTTTCCCCTAGACTGTGTAACACCCAGCTCTCAGCTGTTTCCAACCTCCCCATAAATCTCTTGCCTGCAAAGTCTTGTTAGCTTAACATCAAAATTTGTAATTTAAATTCTCCATTTTATCTGTTTAAATTGTGATCACAATAAAATCTTACCGTCCTGTGCAATATTTGACTTTGTCATATATTTCAATAATATTTTCCTAAAATAAGACTTCAGGAAAAAATATAATGGTTGAGGTTAACACATTGAAAATTTAAAAAGTCTATTTCATGCTTCATGACACATATATAGAGACACAACAGTTTTTTTTATTGTAATGCATTAAGCTGACTACACTTTAAACCTATGGTCATTACCCAATATAAAGCAGCAAAATACCATTTATCTAGATTTAGGCCTCTTGGAAAATTCATGAATTTTTTGCAGATAGACATATAAACAACAAGGAAAGGACAAAAAGTGTCCTACTTGTAAAAGACATATGCATCCCAAATAGGCTGCAATTGTTATGCATTTTTTTTCTCAAAAAAATAATTGTCTTGGGAATTTGTCAAAGCTTAGCATTGCTGACCAATGACTAGCACGCATGGCGTATTCATGAACAGAAACTCTAAAAACTGGTTAATACAACATACATCTTTCACCAGACTGTACCCTTCACATTTTATAGCAGCTTCCAGTTTGCAATGAAACTTAAGAACTTTTAAGAACATCTTGCAATTTCTTGTATGATCTTATTTCCTCAGAAAACTGATTTCTCTGTCATGAACCCCTAGTTTTATTGATACAATGTCATATCTGACCAGACCCCCCACAAGTTGATGTTGATAATGTCAGGTTTCATCTACTGGTAGGGTGGTTTGGTAAAAATGTATACCGTATTCACCTAAATAAATGGTCAGCGTGATAAGTGCCCATGGGCCCTCTCTTTTATTCTAAACCGAGCATTTTATCCCCTTTAACATTGTTTACCGACTTATATATTGTGCTTGCAAAAAAAAGTTGATTATAGTTCATTTTGAGAATTTTTGAAGGTTTTGAAACCATCCTAATTTACTCAAACTACCAGGTGACAATTAAGTTCTTTTTTTTTATATTCATTTTTTTGTTAGATTGAATATGGTAATTATATCCCAGGATGAGAGAAGCAAACCTGTGATGTCTTAACCCATTCACCCCTAAAGTCACATATGGAACCTTAAGAAATTAAAGACTGAGCAAGTCCAGTTTAGCTATGTAGGGGTGAATTAGTTAAAGCATTGTACAGCAGATTTCTGTTACACTGCAGAGGTTTTGGAAAGGATTGTGGAAGAGGGTGTATAGCTATAGTTTATATAGCTCTTTATCAAAACGTTAGCCCCGGGCCATCCCCCTACTCTCAGCCTCTAAGGAGAAATGGGTGCTGTGAGGATAAATGATAAATTTTAGGGGAAAGACTGGAAAATGAAGCCGATTTCTGTATCAACCACTGTATTGGTAGTATAGTGTCTGTATTACTTCAGCATCACATGGTACAGTCTGTAGAGTGGTGGACTACGATCATCATCACCATTCCTTACCCTACAGAAAACACCTAGCCCCTATAACTACTCCCACACTTTAGCTCTCCCATCAGGAGGCAGTCATCCATTCTCTAACGTAACTGTAAGCTTTAAATTACACAAAACAAAACTCGGTTAGGATCTAGTGATGCATGAGCCAGTGTGACCAGATCTGACACAGGAGGCCGTCTGCAGCATCTCCTACTTTAACTGTCATGGTTTTCCCTTTTCAAACATCAGCTCATGCTACGACGCTTAAACACACACAGCGAAGTAAACCTTGTCTCGAACAACATACAAAAATATTTACACATTTGGCACATAACTCACGCACAATTTCCTAATATCATATATTTATGTTAGCCGCGACCTTTCGTAATGACATAATTTGTTTTTATGTAAGTAATTTCATCTGATAAAACATTTTCATCTGATAAACAACACCCCTAAGGAGAACTTATACCATTCCTGACAATCCTAATGTATAGCTGTGTAATTGTTGGTATTCGCATGCAACGGTTTTCGCTGGTAGAATGATTGTCCCGACTTGGTTTGTACATCGAGCGAGGAATGTTAGAATCCATTGAGTGTTCCCCTCCATATGTCACCAACGTGACATGTAATTTGCACTATCAACCCATCACACAGCGGACATCCTCCCAGACTCCCACCAAGCCAGCGCCCCTACGCCTGCCGGAGCCTTCACATTACTTCTGTCCGATTACTCGAACAATTTACAATGTAATATTGGTGGGAAATGTATGGGTTCCAAATAGGTACAGGAACGTTTAATATAAAACCCTCCTTATCGCTATTGATCTCCAGGAGGCAACACACCAGTGCTATCTAAAACAAATGGATCCGGCGAGCGCAAGAACAATTTCGGTGATTCTAGTGTAAGAGTGTATATGAGGTTAGATTGTGTGCTGGCAATCGTGGGACAATAGATATGATTTATGTTCCGAAGATGTAGACAAGAGATCACCCATAAGTCCTAGGTCCACACACGAACTAATGTCTTGTCAGCCTCTTTCCCAATTCGGATAATAGCTCTTCTAATTCCTATTTCACCCAATCTCCACTGTCTTGCCATTAAAAACACAATTGTTTTCATCCTCGATGGCATTTGTGCGGTGTTATTTACGGGCGCTGGATGGCACCAAACAAACGACTGCTCAGTTACGCGGTCTCGGAGCTGTACATCATCGAAGCATCTTGTCCTTATAAGTGTCAAACCCAGATCTCTGCAGAGATAAGAAATCAAAGAGCAATTATACGCAGGAATCTATAACCGTCCAATTCCCCGAATACACATTGACAAATGAATAATGTACAGCCCCAACACCTAATTATCACATCTTACAATAATTGCCAAGCCTTCTACATATTAATTCTTAGAATTTGTGTGTCGTTACGTTTTAAAATTCATAACTTCTGAAATGTTACCGAAATCTCGCTATTGAATTACGATTGCTGCTTGACACCTGCATGAAGCCATTATTTAAGCATAAAATAGAGACGGTTGGTTATTATATGGTGAAGGAAAGATGATTTACATGTCTTATAATTACCTTCAATGTACAGCAGTGCGGCCGATGGTAAGCAAGCTGAGTCGCAATTACTACATCAAGCAAGATCGTCATTCTACAGAAAAGCCAACATGATATTAGTTCATACACTAGAAGTCATCAAATATGGGCAGACATAGGAAATAAGCAGACCCCGCCACTGCCAACATGCTCATAAACAGGCAAGGTATTATGCTGTCGTGAATTTTATGGGAGATGACAGAGTTATGCAGTGTGAGCATTTTTACATTATCTTTAACTATCAGATTCAGTCTATGATCCATTTAGCATCTTGTCAAATTTCTTTTTTAAATTCCCCACAGAGAAATATGGTTCTGATCACGAAGGCGGTGGATTTAGGCCTGTTTAGGCTTTCTCTCCAAAAATAATTGGAATCCTTCATTCATTAATGTCAATATTATTTTTTAATGAACACGAGGGTAGTTAGCATTCATGTACTCTTACGCTTCTACTCACCAGTGGTAGTCATGGAAATGGGCCGTGAGGAGGCGTTTTGAAGTTGTTGGTTTTTTTTCCCCGATTTTGGTTCCAACTCTCCATTCCTCCATTTTTGTTTTAGAATCCCTAATGGCTAGATGATTAAACAAAATTTCCTTGTTGCATGACTTTTAAACATTCTTGTGATTAGCTTCATTAATGACTCCGGACTGATTGTCTTTCTACTTGTTGAATTTCAAGAACAGTGACCTTGACCTTTTCAGACAGCTTCTATGTGACCTCGACCTCCTAGCTGGTTATGGGTAACCTACGTCATCACAGGATCAAGATGAAACGTCTCGACAATCTACACGATTTCGCATAGACTTGTACGAATATGATACAGCAAATTAACATTGATGTTATCCAGTTGTAGAAATTTAGGAATCGTATGAATTTCCAGCAAACGAGCACTTGAACACAATAAAGCCGATATAATTTCTTCACGTAATATAAAAATGTTGTCCACCCACACAAAACAGGATGTCATACGACACAATCCCGATAGTCCTGCGAAATATCTATTGTCGGAGCGGGCGAGAATTTGCCCGAGTCAAACGAGATGTTATTGAGGCCATTTTTTGGCCGGTGAGTTTTCTCCGCAGTCACATGTATCTGTACATTGGAGACAGAATTAGACAAAAAGTCACGGTAACTTGCGGGCTTGGAACTCGTAGAAGGAGAACCAGGCCCAGGGCGATGTAACGAAAAAGTCTGCATTTCCCGATTCTGCGGCCTCTGGAACTCGAACCATGATTTCTGAGGAATTGGGTCATGGAATGTACCTAAAATAAATAAAAAAACAACAATTTTAAAATCTCTTTCAAAATCTAATTACTTCTAATTTATACAATTATCACCTAAAGCAAATAATAACGTCAATTTGAATAATTGATTTTTGAAGAAAAACAATTGTAAGGCTTTTAATTGACTGCCTTTCTAAATTGCAGCTTATTCCAACTCAAAAAAAGATTTTGCGTTTCTTGTTAATGGCTCTTTCCGCTAGTGTTGATTTACTAGAAAAGTTCAGGCCTTTGTCTCTCAATCTGTTTTTCCGACATGTTCTACAAGGTGTTAATGGCAAGGTAGTTGCTATTCAAAACTTGTTGTTGATAATGTTGATAAGGAGTTGGAGACACACGAGAATGGTCGATTCTGAATGGCATTGGTACTCCGCGGCATATTGTTAAAAAATCAAATACGATTAAATATTTTCTCCATTAATCCCCCGTGGCCTTGGAGCAGTAATAACGGCGAAAAATGAACCTGTTTATAACATTTTTTTTATTGCAAGCTAGCAAATGCAGCGACACCTTTTATGTTAAGAATCCTGTTGTTTCTGAAGTGCTTGTTAATTTCTCTCCGAGCACTGCTTAGTTTAAGACTCGTAATTTCATGTCATGCAAATATGTTAAACGTGACACGCGGACACGGGTCGTAATGCAGCTTTCATTGAATATTTTGATGAAAAATGAGTTGATATCTCCACAAAGAATTTTGGGATGTTTAATTATTGTTGATTTACAGTTGTGGTTGATTGAAAGTTTTACGGAAGCATTTGCTTGTTAACGGGTGCTAACAAGGGCAATGACTGCACTGTGGAACGCACAAAAAGTACTTTTAGCCATGCCGAGTCTGACAACAGGTTATTCACATAGACACAGTACATTTGATCATCAGAGGATTTCCTTTCGTGAGATGTTCCAGTTATATTACGACTGATACACAACTCAAAACTTAATGGCCCTAGTGAGCTACCAGCCTTTCGCTTGTACAAAATTGTGAAGCAAAGTTTTTCAACTTAAATTTTACACCAGTGTGTGCCTAGCTACAAGAATTGAGAGAAAGTACATCAATATTTCTTAATTAAAATTGGGAGATAATCTTTAATTTATTTCTTCAATTTGGGAAAACAGAACAACTTTTGCTAAGGGAAGCAACCCGTTTTCCGCTGTGGAACTAGGACAGATAAAAGAACACTTGGGGAGACTTGGCAATTATATATCAAGCTTTTAGACTTCATCCAATTTCTTTCTATGTACAATTCTGTACCTGTAACACTTTATATATTGTGATGCTGAATTCACTTTCATCATGAACTTAAACTTCACATCCTGGGACAGTATAACCTAACATAAAAGTTTATGTTGTAACTGGTTTTCATCTAAATCTATAGCTGCACCTGTTGTCATAAGACTCCAGTGTCCTATAAAATATTCATTCCCTTAAGATACCTATCTGGGGGAGTATTTTATGGGGGATGAAAATGTTATTTGACACCGACAGTTTCAAAGGTGTAAATTTGCTTTAAAACTCTCATTAAAACCTGTCTGATTTGACACCATGTAGGACAACAGTTTGGTCAGCTTAGACAGGGTGTCAGAATACACAGTTGTCAGATTAGAAAAGATGTTGTTATACCCAGGGTCAGATTAGTCATGTTTGTATATATCTACATCATGTACCTTTCTACGTCAAAAGGGTGTTTCTACATCCCATTATGATATAACCCTGTTTGACTAATCAGAATATCATCGACTGCTAATCATATGCTGCATATTTACCAAAAAATATATCTCAAAAAATTCAAATTCAGCATGGTTGGTTCGAATATTATTTCATAAATCCAAAATTTTCTAATTCAATATAAATAGTTAAAATTTTACTACCGGTATCTAAATTTCGTTATCACCAGGTATAATAGATAATGCTTCAAATATCTTATAATATTACATTAATAACATCGTCATATTAAAGGATTATATATTAGTTGACAGTTTCACTAACACAAGACATAGATCTTCTTAAAGGAGATCCAGCCATTTCACCTAAATCTTGGAGCTCAGACAGAATTTTAAATACCGGTATGATGGATTAAAAAAAAAACTCATTTGAAAAATGTCTGAAACTTTCTAAGAAAAAATCTGTCTTCTCCGAGGCCTGCATGCATCCTATGAAAGTTGGGTATCTGACAGTGTTTCCCCAGCGTCGGCCAGCAGGTCACAGGCACCTGATCATGATGTGGGGAAGACATTTCTGTCAATCCACACATGACACACTAAGCTATTTCATTCTTCATTACTCGGTTACAAAACTTGATTTCATGCCCAGGCTACTTCTAAGAAAGGTCCAAGTCTGTTTAATGAACAATTAACAACGAGACCTGGAGCTGGATTATTAGTCTCAGCAACAGCGAGAAGGGGGATTGTAAATGAGCTTGTTGAAGTAATATACAGGAGGGAGGGATGTTAGCAAGTGGACTATTAAGTGTGAGAAACAGAACTTGTTACAAATGTAATGATCTGTTTGTTGGACTTCTACTGGTCAAAAGGACAAACAAACAAAATAGAAGCATGACCAGCATCAAAGACTGACCACTGAGATGGACAATGAGTGACCGATCTGACCAGTGTCCACCGAGACAGGATTATCCCCGCCATTGTCAGGTCGAGTGTTTCCATATCAAGATTACAAAACTTCACCATCTGCCTCATGGGGAGATTGGACAAAACCCCCTATAAACCCCTCCCTGTATTTACGGGAGCCAGAACAATAATCCGAACCTTTGCAAAAACACCTGACCCAGTCCTTTCTCACCTGTGCAGGGATCGTTAATAGCTACCTGTATCGTTTTTTAGAACATCAAACCCTGAATGATGTAGAAAAATACCCCAAATTACCACGAAAAAGTGGCCAGAACAGCCGGCTAATGACAGGTCTGGGTGTATCAGATGCTATAGCGCGGTTCCAGTGCTCGTTCCATAAACCACGGACCCTGTGCTTATAAAATCAACAGGTCACATTGCTTTTGTTTGGAATGTCAAGATTTGATGACTTTAAATTTCTATGACAGAGGGTCAAACCTATTTGTAAATAGCTAAATCAATTAATAGAACACAGGTGTAAATAGAAAAACAGCCGAGCTAACACCGTGATGTAAGCTGTTAGCTGTGAAAAAGGTGTTCGTGTGTCGGTCAGCAGTGGTCAAAGGGGTGGTCGGGTGCCGTAAGTGTGTGTGTACACTCAATTGTTTACCCAGTACGGCTTCCCCTGATAAAATATTGATTTAAAAGAAGCAATCATTGCAGAGGCTTGTGTATACATTTAAAAGTCCGCCGCTGAAATATTTGGAAAGCCTTCATCTTTCCAATTCTCTCTGGGAAACGATTCATTTCAACCAATATTGGGGAAAAAGAATTAAAATTCTAAATCTGATCTGTCGTTTTGAGGTGGTGTAGAAATTCGTCTGGCACTGCAGACTTATTTGGAAAGAAAAATATTCACCTTTCGCACCAGGAAGAAATCAATGCTATATAGGTTCAAATATAGTCAAATATTAGGTCTGTATAGAACGATACAAAATCTTTCACAGAAATCTTGTGCAACCTTGGATGATGTACTGTATGTGTGATTAATTAAGTAAGAAGTGCCTATGGCATTTGGAAATTTAGGGTAAGGAATACCGATAAAGTGCAATGGTCTTAGAGTGTTATTGGTAAGATTCAGTCGACCAATCATCGAGTGTTTCCTACATCAATAGTGTTTGTACTCAAAACACACTATGTGAGTATAATAGCAATTACGGAGGTCATTGATGTAGAAATTGCACCAAAATAGAAATCCGCGAAAGAGGAATTTATTTACTTAGCTATAGTTACACATCCAGACCTAGCAAAAGCTCCTTATAATACAAGCTTATAGGTATAGAAACCTCAGGGCTCCGTTTGGTCCATATGCAGGATTCTGGTTAATTCTGTGGTATTTTGAGGAACATTGCTCCGGCAGACAGGTCTCATTAAGTTTTAAGCTGGTACTTAGTATTCATATCTTGGAAAAGGTTTTTAAAGCTTGTCACACTGTTTAATGAGTGTTTCATTAGTTTGGGAAGGGGGAGTGGGGGTGGAGAGATTTTTTAAAACTTTTTTTGGTAGAAAACTTTTAATTTACAGTTTAACAAATTCTGTCTAATATGATACCCTGTGGGACACAACATATTGGTCATATTATAACCTGTCTTATCTGACATCCTTTGAGACAACAGATCTAAACCTGTCTAAAATGACACTCTGTGAGACACAACATATTGGTCAGATTAGACAGGGTACCAGAATATTGAGTTTTTTGTTTAGAACATTTTAATAGAAATGGAAGTTAAATATTATTCTGGATTAGACAGTGTGACATCATACTCAGGTGTCAGATTAGACAGGCTTGACACAACTAAGGTTAAGCTATATTCCCTTACGCCAAAAATAGTTTTGGTTTCTAAAAATATTAGATATTAAAGATGGTTGGATCAAAATGAATCAGGAATTTATTTGGCCGCAGTCCGATACTATTTTAAACATGGAAGAGTGCCTGTCAGTAAGGTCTGTGTAAACAAAGCTGAGTACATCGTAAAACAAATCAGCCTCACCTTGAAGGTGGCCGAGAGAGGTTAACGAGCGGTTAAGTTTAATTGTGACAAACAGCTTGACTAATTACGTGTGTTTGGTCAGTTATTAGAAATGACAATGATAATTACTTGTGGTGTGTGGGGGTTTCGGTGCATGGTTTTCGTCGTCGCTGCCGCCACGCCCACTGTCACTAGCGTTTGTGTCGCCGGACACGATACTGTGATTGTCATCCTGTTTCTTGGGAAAATTTTTGCTCTGCAATGAAATAAAGACAAGATTTATACTCAAACTCCAAAAAAAATGTAATCCTAATTGGAGAAACATTCCTGTAAAACTTTTATTTTGCGTCGAAGAAATTCCAGATTTTAAAATAAATTGAACACCCGAAAACCATTAATCAAAATGCCTTCTTAAAACAATTTCATGGCTCTTATTCTCAAACAAAGAAATCAAGATTTAATTAAACACAGAATCATTATTTACAATTTGTTTCTTGGACTGTTCATAGCTTAAGATCTGTCACTACGATGACAAAAATCATCCTTTAACATCAAAATGAAAAACAATAATTCATAATTCAAGACGGATTCCATCAACATTTCTGCAAAAAGTTTTCAGTGAAATAATTCAGATTTAAAGTGTAAAATTGACGGTCAATTATCATTAATCAGAGCTAAACGATGTTGCTTTTATGTCCATTTAAATGCAATGACGTATTACATGGACTTAATAGATTTAGAATGAGAAGAATGCGAGATGAAATGAAAAATATTCGTAAATTTGCATTTTAAGACACATCAGAAATTCAGATAGCATGCAGTCAGTTCACAATTGTTAAATGTTATAGAAATGATCTCAAATCCTCTCTAATACTGCTGTGTGGCTTGTTCAACGTAACTGTATTTAAAGATTATAAACTCAAACTTAATATTTAGTCAAACAGGTCCAAATTCTCTTCTTATCCTTAAAGATGGAGAATTTAGAATGGTGGCAATTGGATCCCACAAATGCTTACCAAATCTATTTTTTGAAAGAAAATGCAAAATTTACCATTTCACTCACTTAAATTATAGTGTAAACCCATTAAAGCGCACTAAGTAAATTCATCTTTATAAAAAAGGCCTCAAACCTGTACAAAAAAATGTATGATTAACCCTTTCACCACTGTAGACCATAATGGACTCATCAATATCAATGCAACGTAGAGTCTACTAAAGTTACATAGGGGTGAAAGGGTTAATACATGTTTTTTGTAGAAATACTTGCTATAAGAGGTTTTCCGCATTTTGTTTTATTTCTTAGATTACCTAAGAAAATCATGTATTAATCATAGTATTTTTTTTGTGTTAGTTCCTGAATTAGTGTCAAAATAAAAATTTGAAACAAGGAAGGCAAAATGGCCTTTGATCAGTTAATCTTAAGAAGCTTGTGCAATGTATATTTTCAGTGCAGTGTATTTGTTTCTGACACAAAATTGATTACTTCACGCGAGCCGGAATAATAGATCTCGGTCTTTCTGTGAATCGACAAATCGGGCACACACTTCTGGTCCATATTATCTAAATCGCCTATAAATACATCCTTCTTATTCTTGTTAAACACAATTTGTTAAGTTTTTGAACAGTTTAAGATTGTATTTTAGATTTGAAAACAATAGGGTATTACTCATAATTTGGCAATACATGTAGAGTCGTAGGCGACACCTTGAGGGAATTACGAGTCCCTGGGTGCGTCACATTCTTCATACAGATACCAGTAGATTCTAACCAGATCCCAAACCTTCAGGCAACTTCCTGATAAGCTGATGTATATCTGAACTTTAAATTGACTGCCTTTTCTGCTTCAATTCAAGCGATAAGTTGACAAATTAAATGCTTTGTCACCAAGTACAGAAGAGTCTCCGTACGTCCAAACAGCCGTTATCAAATCATATTTACGTGTCGTATGTCTGTTTGTCACGTAGAGGCTTTGTCAGTGGCATTTACCGACGAGCTGTCAAGGATTGACAACACCAATCCAATACACCTTACCCATTTCTGTTTATTTAACAGGCTCGTCAATACATCAATGGACATTTAATGGACATTTAATGGACGAACAACTGTGTTTACATGTCGATGGTCAAATTTCATTATACATTTCCTGTCACCCGAAACAATATTTGATTCATATGTGATTCAACTTAAATCAACTTCAATCAATTTCTTTTCTAAATTGAATAGGTGAAGGTTTTTATCTCAATAGAACTTCATATACAATTAGGTCTTTATCACAAACGATATTTAATCATAAGATTTTCTTTTCAATGGCACTTAATTTGTTTTTTTCTAGCACTCTTGATAATATCTTAAAGATGTTTTTTTGAACAGTGATTTTTACATTGACCAGAATTTGTTTTCATAAAAGCTTTTATTAATTATGCTAGATTATTAAAATTTATTAACCAAGAACTTCTTTTGAATTTATCAGATTTCTTTTCTAAATTTTTTACTTCGGTACTGCTAAAATATAATAACTTTTCAAACAATTTCCAAAATTCAGTTTTGTGATTAAATATTAATTCAAAAATAATAATATTGATATTACTAAACTCATAACAATAGGCCCTTGTTAGTCTAGATGTGTGTTTCCCAAAGAAAATTACAGAGTCGTTTACTTTCAACAGCTTCTATGCGTTGATGGCGTTAATATATTTGAAACCCCACAGACCTTGAAAATGATGAAGTACATTTGAATCATAAACACCAGGAAGAGTTAATATTGACCTAAATATTAAAATAGAACATTTCAAACTGATTATATGGAATATTCCATTACAGAAATTGAGGGGTGACAGCTAGCTGAAGGGGGGGGGTTAAGGATTTATTTTAAATTCCAGCTGAGCAATTTTCTCCCTTCAGATATTGAAAATTTAGACAGACATTTTTTGTACTCCAGAGGATCGTGGTGAAAGCCACCTTTCACCGAAGAAAAATCTTGATAATAAATCTTCGCAGGAGCTATATACCCAGAGAGACTTTTTTCCGTAAGAGTGAAGTGCAGTACGTTTCAATCAAACGTCAGGATTATTGAGATAAGTTGTTGCTATTTAACCGCTTGCCACTAAACTCCGATACTGTCACTTACGAACAGTGAGATAAGTCCGTGACCATCTGATCTGTTTCACTCATCCCGCTAAACTCAACAACCCAGCAACTCCCAAAATCACGTCTTGTATTTCAAATGTTCACGAAATAGCTTTCAAGATTCCAGAGGTTTTGGGATACCGGTAATACTGTGGTTGGTGTATCAGAACCAAGTGACTGAAATTTGCATTTCAATAACACTTTATTTCTCAACATACCGTCACTCTTGACACTACGCCTAAGTTAGGCAGCCAAAATAAAGACAAATATAACTGGCACATGTAAATCAGAAATCAGATTTCGAATCACTTTGCGATAAATCAAGTCATTTGAAAATAAGATACAATTTCAAGACAATTACTGAATCCTTTTTTATCTCATTCCAACATGTTACAACGTCTTAAAAAAAGAATGTACTTCGAAGAATTTATTTCTCGTACCCATGTCATGACGGAATAATTCAGCCAATTTCTAGCGTATTGTTCCATCTTTATTGAGCCGTAGCACAAAGGCACTTGTGTTAAAACCAATTAAATCTGCCCCATCAAATTCAAATCCGCATTTAATAGCTTTTTCAGCAGGGGAACTAAAGATCAAAACCTCAAACCTCTTTGACAATAGTTGCAGCTTATTCTCATCTTTAAAGCAGCAAGACGGTTTGCCAGTCAACAAAGAACATAGCTTTTCAATATTGTTCATCTTGTTACTGTACAGTTTGGTCTAAACCTGCCTTTTGGCTGTTCAGCCCCTCAGAACGGTGTCCTGCGGGGTTCATAATGACCCCTAAATGGTTCCCTGGTGTTTAACACACAGGCTCCCTGGAAGAGGCCATGAGACCGCATCATTGCACTCATCTTATTTATGTCAAAAATAATCACATAATTTGCCGACAGGTGAAGGGCTGATTACCTGGTTGTCATGGAGTGCTGCGATGTTCCTAATGCAGCTTATTTTGCGAGCAGATACTGTAGCAATTTGAAAGGGTCAATGTGGCGTCAATTAAAAGATGTTTCGTGAACAATGTTGGCCTATACATCGGGAAATGATAGTTTCTGTCACCTAGATTGGATTTTTTCAACCGTGCATTCAGCTGTTGGTTTGTTGTAAATAGTTTCACATTAGTCACCTCCGGTAACACTGCGGCCAATTGCATTTTGTAAAATCGCCAATATCAGGGCACCTGGTCCAATTTCCGGGAATCACGGTGGTAAAAATGTATTACTTTTTTGCAAAAGTAAAATTGATTTTCAAATCATAGGAGGCATCTTTGGTTTGAACTGGTTCCAGTCAAATATCGACGACTTTGGTATGTAAACAGAATCACGAAATTAAAGAAGCTGTAAAAGCAATTTAAACGCAACCAAATGAATTACCTAGGCTCCCTTATGATGAGGCCTGCCTGTTCCACACTGTTACCTGTGCGACGAGCAATATGTTTTCCTCGAGGGTATTAAATCAGACACAATTTACCCCTGCTTGAGAGGAACCACATGGGTGATGGCACTGTTTAATTTTAACACAAATGAAATACACCACCGATACAGCACCACTTTCGGCAATATACAGGTTGCTTCGTGGTTTAATCAGATTTTTCTCCTGCACAATCATTAGATTTTTTATAAAAAAAATCTTTTTTTTTAAATTCCTGGACCTCAAGACGATGTTAAAGTGGCAGAGATTGTGGGTTGTGTACAATACAGCGGTTGTATTATAGACATCGGAAGATACAGCACCCCATTAAACTGTTCTAATACTACCCGAAAACTGATCAATACTCTCGTCTGAACGGGGATATGGACATGAAATCCACAAATTTGATCGAGATGTTTTGTGTGTGTACAGAATCGTAATATATATGACCAATAAAAAAATTCTGACATATATACGTTTCTCTGCTGGTGACTAGGGAGCTAGTTATGTTCCCTTTTATAACCTTTCCCAGTGACTTTGTTGTCAGTTATTCCCACTTTAACAATGCAGAAATCCGTTATCAGATGGTGTGATGGCGATTATAGGCTGGGAAGTGTAAAATGAAAGAAATACAGATGTAATCGTAGCTGATAGTGACCGACACATAACAATGTCCACAGACCCTGCTTATAACTTGACAATGGGTTAAACGGCAACATT